AACAAACTGGCTCAATGATTGTGGCAAGCGACCTTTCGTGCCTCTGGCCATCCAGTCTTGGGGTGTACGATCACCGTCATCAATCACCATACGAGACATGTTGCTGGAACATGTTGGAACAAATTTGCGGCACACCCAAAGCACAAAAACAGTGATAGGTCGAAAATCTGATGTGCAGGAATTCTTCCACTCCAGGTTGTGTAGATGGAATCCCTAATTGAATCGCCCCAAAGCCCAAACGTTCCTTGGTCGATCCTCTCCATCTTGGTTCCGCTGGTCACATGATCTGACTTCGTCCCAGTGGCACTGTGAAGGCCAAGGCCCCCCGTGGCTGGGCTGCTGAAGCTCGCAGTGTTCCCTCAGCCGACGTCGGCTGGTGCAAAAAACGTGAGGTTCAGCCTCCAGCCTAGAAGCAATGGCCTCCAACCTAATAGCGATGGCCTCCAACCATGGGATGCCAGGGACACTTTCTTGTTTCAAGTCCAACCAATGGGTGCCCAATGGAGGTCCCTATAAGTAGTGTAGGGTAGTCTATTGGCCACCCCTTGGATGGTCCTGCTAGGTATATACATGTAATATACTATGCACGAGTAAATACGCATCCGTGAAACCCAAAGCCTCACTGGTCACTGGAACAAGTCTTGAACTACAGCTGTTTGTATACAGGAGCCTGTGCCAAAACCAATCCCAACCATAGCACGGATGGTCATGAGGACTATGAAAACGTCTCGGCTGTCAAACTGCCCCAACTGCCTCGCTTATGCCACACTTTACACCACCAACTTTAGTTAGAACTGCCGAACCGCCCTTGCTTTGGCAAATGCAACCGCTTGAAGGCCTTACAACTCGCTTGTGCCCGTGTTTAACCCATACTTTCCCAGGTCCTCAGGCTTATACAATAATCACCTCTCCCCCCCAAAAGCTTTGTCCGAAACCGGCCCTCCTCCCACTGCCCAGGCGCCGGTCAAGGTGGTGGACAAGGTGGCGCCCGCGTCGCACGGGTCTGATGCGGTGCCCACCTTCCTCACCTGAGGCGCCACTCCGGGCTCCGGAGCCCGGTTCCGGTCGAGGTCTCGGATCGGTCCGGCACTTGGATGAGAATGGTGAACTCATTTTTTTTTTATGCAAGCTAAGTTGTGTATATATAACTATATATGTTATAATATATATATATATGATATGCCAATTATGTTTCTGTATGTTCATGTATGTAATTAAATTAGTATGTCTTTATATATCTTTACATATTGTTAAGTTTTGGGAACCGTTCTTTACATATGACATATGATATGTGAAGGCAGGTGCTTGGAAGATTACGTGTGTCCCACTTCAATGCTTGCATCTTTAAGAGCACTCCACCTGTAGAAGCAATGCAAAGGGCCGCAGGGTCTGAACAATCCGCAGGGGGGCTGGGCCATCCATGCTTCAACTTCACAGGTAGGCTCGGGCTAAGCAACATGTTCTGCAAATGACTTCCCAATCTGGAGTTGCCCAAGCGCCTGTGCGCTAACATGCACATGCATGGTGCTTGCCCATCACACAGGAGTCCCCTTCCCTAGCATCCCACAACACTCTCTATCTCAAACCTGCTTTCAAAGGGTACCCCGAAACAGAATCCGAGTATATGTATATATATATACCTTGAGTCTCCAATGACCCTTTTAAATTTGCCTTTCCAAGAAAAAGAGGTTTTTGAAAGAAAGCACTCTTTTTTGCATGTGTCAGGAAATGTTCCCTTTTTGTTTGTGCCCTGTCAGATCCTCCTTAGACAGTGTCCTGAGACCTTTTTTCGGCGTCCAAAACGCGTCTTTTTGCGTCCAAAAGGCGTCTTTAAGCGTCCGTGCCGGACGCGTCCGGATGAAGATTCACTCTGCACCTGTTTTTGAGTCCTCATCTCTAAAAACGCGTTTTTCGAGCAACAACGCAAAAATATTAGACCAAAAACAAAAACGCAGAAAAAAAAGGTCTTTGGAGACTCAAGGTATGTATATAGAGACCACCACCTCTTCGATTCAACCTACTCCACCCTCCTGTCACATGCGAATCGCTGAGAAGGTGAGGACGTTGCTGGAGACCGTGGCGGTGCCATAGGGTTCGCACGTTGGAGTGGCCAGAACGCGGCCAGACCAATCTGCTTCATCAGGATCCTGCCAGAGGGTCTGTCGCCGGGCCAGGTCATATGTGATGGTTTGTTCTATCAACTGGCGAGGGCAAACAATGCTACAAGTCATCCTCATATCATCATGCCATACGGGGTCTAATTCCAGGTATTACATACGAGGACCCGTTGCCCTATTGCGAGGTCGAGGTCAACAACTGTCATTGTCACACTCCACGGCACTGACAAGAACACGTCGTGCATAGCAACCTCTGCTCTCCTCAAGCGCAGCCTGTGCGCCAAATGACGAAACCTAGTGCGCCAAGATCTAAGATCCCAGCCTCTTGCAGCCGTCGCGCTGGAAACGACATGGTGCCGTCTGAAAGCATGCCAGATGGAAGGGTGACGGTCGCCTGAAAGGAAAGAATGAAATGGCCAGTGAGGCCGGAGCTGTGTCTGATCCAAAGAAACATGCACGGGAGAAGTTCTCGTAGCGGCACTGGTTCCTACAAGGTGCTCCCATGCCTTCAATGTAGGTGACACAAATGCCCGCTACACATATTGCACATTATTTGCCTGGAGCTGGAGCTGCAAAGCGCAAACATGATTCTTCCAGCACACTCCCAAATCACAACGACCCACCAGTAAATGAGACACCCTACTCCACAAGCAAACTCAACTGCAGCCATTGGCCATTCATTGATTGGTTGCAGGGCGCAGGATGCTGCGGAAAGTTCCTCTCCTAGCCACCCATCTGCAACAAATCTCCTCTATATACGCCACATACGCCACCCTCTCCAACTTTCTTGGTGGCTGGGTAGCTGCAAGATGACAAACAAACAATTACGTCCCCCGCAACCAGCGCTTGCGAGAACGGAAATCAAACCTTATCCACTCAATCTTGCAGCCCTATCTTCTGAAGTTTCCCGCCACCAGGGTGCGGTGGCTGCATTGGCGGCGGTGGTCGTAAAGCCAATGACCAGTGAGGCTGGCACCTGAGTGGAGCACGTTCCTGACCGAGTATTGACATCATGACCCAATGTTGACATCATGACCCAATGGTGTAGTCGATGCACGCCCTGATGGAAGGAAAATGATGGGAACATCATGCAAACGATGAGCTAAGTTCCTACAACAGGTCGATTTTGGCGGTTCAAACCATCATAAACCATCCATCCACTGAATTTACGCAACACTCCTGCCCCATCCCTCCACTCCACTCCGACTCGTCCCTCATCTGCGCTTTGTCTGGCTGTCCCGGCCTCACCCTCCGCCGCAGCTGTGCCGTTGCTGTCCAGCAAGCTCAAGGAAAGACCGGTGAGTTGCCCTGGCCGTCTGAGCGAGTTTTTGCTTTTTGTTCAACACCGGAAAACGAGCGGAGAACGTTCGACACCTGGGAACTTTGAGACATCCAGCATCTTAAATGGAGGATTGGATAGTATATAATGGCATGTATTGTTGCAAATATTTAGGAGACATGGTTTACGAATGAACAAAATGCTTAGACTACCTTGTGTGGATTTGCTGAGACTTATCTGACACACACACACTCCTATAACATAACGAATATGTATGTGTATATATATATATATGTGTGTGTGTATAAGGCCTATAAGGGCTCGCTGGTTGATTTCTCCGCGTACTTTGATTGCTGGCTGGCATGCCGATGCCGGATTCCTCTGGCCTTGTGCCGCCAGGACGGAGGAGAACAGCGCCAACCTGGGCAAATGAACCGCGTTAGAAATCCTCATACAAGTTGGATGGTCATAAAGGAGGTCGCCAAGGAGCTCGCAGGGTATTCTTTGAGATCGTCTGCACTGTGAATTTTGGTGAGAAACTCAGTTCTGTCCCCAATCGGCCACATGGGAAATCCATGGAGCTTCCATTGTCCAACTGAACATCCCTCATCTTGCATGTGCAAATTGGAAAATCCGTCCACTTGTGTAGGCCTTTGAGACAAACGATGAGTATGCTGGAGATCGGTGAAACCGTGAAAAGAGTATGCTTTGCCTGGATCTCTGAAGAGCAGAGATCCAAGCCTGTGCTTGTGCTTGTATCTTCTTCCTCGTGCGACCCCAAACCCCCCCACCCGGTGCTGCCGACCACAACGTGCTCGCAAAGCATGCGCCGAGCTGCACTGCCAACATCTCCGCCGATGGCCAATCAAAACAATCGACAGGTGAAACTTTGTCTACACGAGATTGCCAAAGTCCTACACTATTTACATCTATTTACTATTCCACACTGAAACCAAATGGCCGCGTGACAAATCCGTGAATTGCAGAAGTTGACCAAGCCCAAATGCACCGCTAGATCCCCAAGTACACCGGTAGATCCCCACAACAGCACACATGCTGACAATCATGCGCTGCTAAACACTGCAGTAGGGAGTTGCTCACCCCAAGGGCGGCCCACAGGGTTTCCACCACTAAGTGCCCTCTAGCATATGTCATCCAGGAATAACTGTTGCTGTTTGAGCAACCTCCTGTTCTACCAAAAATACAGATGTTTGCTGGGCATTGTTCATCTGGCATTGGGCTTTGTACAGCAAGACTCAGACCAAACATGAGAAAACTGTATTCATAATAGGACATGTACAGGGACACACAGTACATTCTCTGCAGAAGTTGATCCAAAGAAACAGGCACATGCTGTTGGTGGCCGGAAAAAACGCCAGCTGAGAAAAACAGTAGAAACAGTGTCCCTGACAGGTTTTGTGCTGCAGGATTGTCTATCAAAAGACCAACAGTTTCATTTGACAATCCCGAAACTGGGATCCTATGGGTATAATTCCCTTATGAGCATGACATAAGCCCCCATGGCTAATCCATGTCAATGTAAATGCACCAAAAAGGACAAATTTTAGAATCTATAGGTGGTTGAGGACGGCCTATCCCCTCTCCTTGGAGCGTTTGCTGATCTTGACTGCCACTTGAGGATGATCACCTTTACCACATAGCTTCGCACTGTGCACGGTGCCTTGGCAACATCACACGACAGCGCTTTGCAGCGCTGATGCGGAGGTGGGGTCAAAAAACGTACCCCGTTTAAATCATGAACAAGACCATGTCTACAGGTGAATGCTCACCTGCCCTCGGTTGACGGTTTTGACCCAAGGCTGTGCAAGGGAAGGTCACAATGACAATGGGAGGGAGGAGGCACATGACTAAGGTGGTCGCCCCTCACCTGAGCTAAGCTCAGTACTGGTCTAGAGGCTTTTGGGGCCGATCCCCGAAACCTCAGGCTATCGGCTCGGCCTATTCAGCCCAAAATCCACCTGGAGACACCCAATAGGCTCGGCCCAAAACCGCTGGCGATCCAAGCCACCAAAGGAGCCACGCCCGATGGCCTCCTAAGTGTGTCGCTTGCGAGGGGTTGGTTGAGCAAACATAGTGTTACAGCAAACAACTCCGAATGGAGAATATGAATAGCTTCCAGTGACTGGCAAACTGGCTCTAGCATGGGCATTAGCATAATCCGGAAACTTGCCAAGGACGCAACTTAAAAACATGTATGTATTCTGAGGTCCTGTTGCATTTGATTAGAAAATATTAGAAATACACGAGATGGGGAGTTGAGGCGCCCTTGCCATTGTTGTGTTCAGATTCTTGCCGGAGAAGGGCAATAGTTAAAGTTAGTCTTTGGTAGAAGGTGGCAAAGGTGCGCAGTAGGACAACGAGTAAGAAGCTTTCAACCCTGCTACAGGATAACGTGCTGGAGTCTCCTTTGCCTCACCTCCATGGAGAAACCGGAAGCTCATGGAAGGTCCAAACACTCGGTCCAAGTGCTTGGAAGTGGGCGAGTCCATGCGTGGTCCATACGCAGTGGGGTTTGTCCATTTCGTCAAGTTCATGTGTGGTGCGAGGTGTTGCGAAGATCACATGTGTGATTTTCCGCCCTTCATGGGGTTCCAAGTCCTGCCGACAAACTATTCTCAACTTGAGTAAAATGTCCATGAGGAGCATGTCATGTCCGACTAGAAATTCAAAAAAAACAAAATCCTCAACCAAGTCGACATGTTCAATCTATGAAATTCGACTGCTGGGTTGTCTGCACCGGGGGTTCTTCATCCTACCGGCCTTAGGAAAAACAAGCTCAGCAGGTGAACCAGAAAGAAGGAGCGACACGGGGGCCCAATGAATACTGGGTCAATGCAAAGACCTGTGGACTGACATATGGATCTATTATGTCGAAGGGCAACACAGGACAGGTTAGTAATCGGTTTGTAACTAACTTCTCGAGTTGCAACATATCTATCAGTTGCAGCCCACCCTCCAGATGTAAAAACATGTAAAAACGTGTTCCGTTTTCCTCAGCCTCAGAGTGCTTGCTTGCTGTTAGCTCACTTGAGACATGAGTTGCCGAAGTGTTCTGGGAGACCCTGTGACGGTTCTTGGTCCGCCCAAGCGTCGCCAATGTCCAGAACCTGCTTGACTTCTTCATCTTTGGTGACCTGCCAAGGACTTGGGAGCGGGTGCCTCTTTTCACAACTTCTACGAATATGGAATGCTGGTGAACGCTCAGCACAAAGTTGCCCTAACTCCACATTGAAGTCAGACTATATATAGCTACTACTGCAGTAGATTACTAGTTCCCCCACCTCCCCCCCCCCCCCCCCCCCTCGCTCTCTCTCTCTCTCTCTTCCTTTCTGTTGGCAAAGCCTTGCCCTCTTTATCTTTTCTCAAAATTAATTATGCTTCTATGCCCATGCCACATGCTTGATCCGGCTGCTCTCGTAGCGACGCTCCAGAGATTTGACCCACTTGGCCCCAAAGAATCGTGCGGAGCTCAACCCCCATGCTCACAACGTTGCAAATGATGCCTGAACGAAGGGCATGGAACATCTGCTTCTGATCCCGAACTTCCAGGCGCAACTGCCATGTGCTCCAATCGCAATGGTCTGTGCATTCGCCCTGAATGGCTCAGGGTCAAAACCCTGAGAATAGAAAACTCTTGTATTTGAGGGCTCCTCGGTTGCAAACACACTCTCACACGTTATAAAACCGGATGCTTCAAGGTGCTACAGACTATACATCGGGTGTGAACAGTGGATGCTAAAGTCAGTAAATGACTTGAGGCTCTTTGCTTTGGAAGCACCCCATGACTGTGGGACACCCTGGATGAAATCCCATGCCCGTCACCGGGAACGTCCGACTTCACTAGCCAAGCACTGCCTGTAACAGTCCTTCACTGGGCCCCGCCATGGCCTTGCGACGACGCCAAACGGGTCACATGTGGAGCATTTGAGGTACAATGATGCACACACGGTCGCATCCCTTTAATTGGTTTCCTTTGCGAGTTCTGGGTCGCAAGGTTGCTGTAAGGGTCGGACTCACACCATTAAATTCGAATCACTTTGCTTCACTGACTCAGTGTTGCTTTAATGCGGAGCTTTATGTACCATATACCTTCCTTTTGGGCATGGGCCTTGGCTGCAGGAAAGCACAGTAAACCCGTAATGTTGTGTTTTTTTAAATAGACCTAATTAACATCTTACAACACATAGGAACATGAAGAACAACATCCCCCTAAGCCTTACTCATGATGGCACCCACCCGAAAGATCACCTTTCACCATTGACAGTCACTTGCAGGCTGTCCCCACAAAAGGGAGCAGTCTACGCCGGTTGCGTCCGCGCTGTCGTTGCTCATTCAGCCGGACAGCGGGTACGACCAGGTCGATGCTGGAATCTAAGTCGGGTCGGGTGCCCACAGGAAACACCGCTATGCACGGCCTTTTGCCATCATCAAAAGTTACATCCAAGAGAGATTCATAGAAGAACATCTACGTTACATACATACATACATACATACATACATACATACATACATACATA